TTCCTTCGTCCTCCTATTTTCCCCACAACAACAACCCTGTGAGGTGAGTTGGGCTGAGAGAAAGTGACTAGCCCAAAGTCACCGAGCCAGCTTTCATGCCTAAGGTGGGACTAGAACTCACAGTCTCCTGCTTTCTAACCCGGTGCCTTAACCACTAGACCAAACTGGCCCTCTTTTTGCTGGTCACCCATCAGATCTGATGTTTGAAGATCCCCATCTCTGGTTGGAAACAACTCTCCTATTTCCTGACCTGTTTTCCTGTGATATCTGTTCCAATTTCCTCTTTCTTCCCCTACAACTGGATGTTCAGCTTGACTTTCAACTGGGATCTGTGGAAGTCTCTGGCATTCAGCCTATAGACTGCCTTGCATTTTGTGGGGGAGGGGGCATTCCTGCCTCTAAATTCTTCAAATTAGCAGTTTGTGGCACTGGCACATTTTACAAGGAAGTGATCTCTTTTTGAAATCTCCAAGTTGTTGTTACATATTGTCTAAATTATTGGCCCTTAGTTCTACCTAGTGGAAGATATGCAACACCTAATACACTAATAAAGTCTCTCAGACTTGTAATTGCCTTCCTTTTCATTTGTATTAATCTAAGCCTTGTATACGACATAAAACAATCTTTCTAAAATGGAGATCTGCATCTGATCGATACAGTTTCCTTGAGTGTCATGGATGTAAGGCACTATATACATTAATGAAAGCAAGAACAGTGCTTCTTGGATGGTTGTTCTAGTGATCCCAACCAATAGGGAATTACATTGTGAATGTAATGAACTGATAATGACTTCTAATTAACATACTTACTTGAGTTGTCAAAACTATTGAGGGCAAATAAAGTTAATTTGGAATAAGGGCTAAGCCTTCTCAATAGGTTGATATTTTTGAAGTAATGATTTAACAATTGTTCAAAAACTGAGAATGCTTTTTCTTGCTACAAAATAGTCAGTTTTTCCAAGGCTACATTCTAACAGGATCTTTACTAATCAGGTGAATCATGTAGCACATAATTTTTTCAAATCCTCAACCCTCCAGTCTAGTTGGCGATTTTTTGTTCCAATTGTGTTTTCCCCCCACTCTTCCTGAAGTTTGTATTTTTAAATTACTGTCCTTCCTGTTCTGTTAATCCCCATATGTTCTCCTGGTTGCTCTATCCTGTAATCAGAAAGTTAAAAATAAAAACACAAATCAACAAGGTTTAATTTATTTAGATGAGTAATAAAACAAATGATTAATGTTACTTTCTCAGCCATCCTGATTGATGAAGAAATAAATTATTTTTCTCTAATAAATAGTATATTTTCTCTATTCACACCATTTTATTTTATAATATGTTCTTTTACATGTATGCTCTCCATTTATCTCTACAGTTCATGCCTTAAATATATAATTATGCATTTAATGCCAGCACCCTAAAAGAGCATCTGATGTAGCTTCAGTTCTGAGTAATTTTACAGGATGTATGTTCCTTGAACTGAAATAAACTTTTCAAGGATGTAAATGCACACGAAAATGACTGCAATATCTGTTGAGTTGAACTATTGAAAAAAGAGTATAAAAGATAGTGTGTGCCATATTCTAAACATGAATACTAAATGTCCCATGAGTACATTTAATTAATTAAATTTGACCCCAGTGAGAAGAACCAATGTTGGCAACCATCTCCTGAAAACATATTCACAAAATATAATAGAAAATGAATATTATGCCTTTTTGAATCAGTATTATGATAATATCTGTATGATAGAGTATGATCTAAGTTCATATCTCTTTATCAATATGAACTCAGCAGACACGTGTGTGTGTGTGTGTGTGTGAATAAATAAATAAATTTAAGGTGCATCTCATTAACTCAGTGGAACTGAGATCTTCATGTAGAATTTATTTTGTCTGACAACCATGTATAAGACTATTAGATTGCAATCCTATGCTCAGAAAATTGAGAATTGCTCTATTCAGTATAACGGGTCTTAACTCTGAGTATAGAATAATGCTGCTAAGATCCATTTGGAACTTAAAATAAAAGAGGAGCAGGAATATTACCAGAATAGCAAAAGGATATGACAAAGAGTTGAATTGGTTGATATGGTATAATTTCTCTTCCTCTACCTCCAATTTTACACATTTTGTTTCTTAATTCAGCCTTCTAATTATTTCTAACAAATTGGCACATTTTTTTTCAGATATTGCATGTATCCCCATACCAAAAAACCTCAGTGGATATTCGCTGATGCCTTTGATGTTAGAAAATGGAGATTATAAAGCCCTATCTAGAAAGTTACATCCTCCTTGGGTTCTGAGTGAGTTTCATGGCTGCAATGTGAATTCTTCAACCTACATGCTGCGAACTGACAAGTGGAAATACATTGCTTATTCAGATGGCCATTCTGTGTCTCCTCAGTTGTTTGGTACGGTTACCATTTGATGAAAATATCATTCTCATTCTCTGATGTGATCTGCACAATCAAAATAAGCTGATTCATTTCCATACTGCGCAGGTTCAGCTACACATCCTTATCTTGTACCAGCACAAGACCCAAAATTGCAAAAGAATGCATTTGTGTCATCCCTTGTTCCATTCAGCAAAAGAACAGAAAAGGAATGATGCACATCTAGGATGAAGAATAGTGATTAAAAATAAAAATCATGTCAACAAATCCCTGTAAGAATTTGTATCAATGCAAATTAGCAGGCAGTTTTAATTCATCATACAGTACAATAGAGAACTATAGGTCAAAGGGTGCTAGAAGCACTGGCCACAGCAGGAGACAGCTCTGTTTTTAAGTTTCCAGCACCTACTCCGGTCTCCTGGGGCCCATAAATGTGGGCTTCAATCTCATCTTGAACTGTGTCCAATTTGAGAAGAGCCAGTATGGTCAAGTACCTCAGAAATCCATGTATGATTCAAAGTGGTGAGAATCAGAAAAAAGTAGCAGATCTAATGGCCTGTAGATAGCCAGTAACTCTGAATATTTGATACTTCTAGAAGTCACAATCCTTTTTCCAATGAGAGACAAGAGGGTGGGATCCAGGTTGGGAAAAATGCTCAACATTTTTTTTTTCAACAGTCTAATGGGCTGCAAGGTCCTGAAAGCAGAAAGAACTACGGAAACACAAGACTCTGACTTTCTGCCCAAAAACTTTGGGAGAACTAGAACTAGTAAAGTTGCCAATGAGACTGTTCAGGGCTATTTTGCTCAGTTGTGTTGCTCTATCTTCGTTGGCTTCCTTGGTCTGTTTTCAGGTTAACCTGAAAATTTCATTACTCTGAAAATACCTATCATATGACAAGGAAAAATCTTTTCATATGATAGGTTCCCTACTTTGATTGCTAACATTGAGGTGCAGAACTAGGCCTTCTGTGACATGATGCATTTAACTTAATTGTCAAATCCTTACTTGTTGCTTTTATTTAAAAAATTTAAAAATCCCTTATTCTTTGTCAATCCAGTGTTGGACTTACACTAGCACCATGCAAAAATTGGGTTTGAGTCCTAGTGACAAATCTAACAAACAAACAAACAAATAAAAATCCTAATGAATATATATCTGTGTTTAATAATAAATTGAGTTCCTGTATTGGTGTACAGTCCCAATATTTATTAAATTTATCCTATAACCTACATGCCATTATATTGAAGTTAACAGTTTAAAGAATCCAGACAGGGATATTCTTACAATGTTACTATATATAATATAAATTTAGAACAGAATTCAAATAATGCATATTTTCAGTTATATGGACTGAAACTAGCAAAAGAGAAAGGTATCACTTAGCAGAATTAGATTTTGGATGCCTGATGAAGCCTTCTCACTGAAAAATCTTGTCATATGATAAGTTCTCTACTTTGATTGTGTAGTTTTTCAGTGACTGCTTTTTAATTTGCATAACCACACACATACTATTTGGGAAAATAACAGTTTTGAGAATTACTGAAGATACTGAGTTTGTTTTCTGTACCATATTTGTTCTTTTGTCTTGTGCTGTTTTTGTGTTTTTATATCATTCTTTGTTTTAAATGTTTTTAACAACTGTAAATCACTCAGAGTAGCTGGGAGTCAGGCAGCATATAAATTTAATTTATTATTATTGGTCGCACAGTCAACCAGTTGTTTAGACTGGATCTGGCATTTGTATCTGCTCATGGAGTCCTTCCCAAGGACCTGGGGTGGCAGATGTTATTGCTCAATGGTGTTAAAAGTATTGTTGCAGGATGTATGCTGTTCCACATAAAGCTGCCTTTTGCAATTGACTGATGATGATTGTGTCAATGCTGATGGGGTTCAAGTGGTGCTCCAGAAGTTTTGGAATTGCACCCAAGGCACCTATTACTTTTGGTACTTTGCTTTCTTTTGCCATAGTCGTTCTACTTCTATTTGCAGGTCTTTGTGTTTTGTGATTTTCTCCACTTCTTTCTCTTCTCTTCTGCTGTCTGCAGGTACTGCAATGTCCACTATCCAGACTTTTTTGTCTTTCTTATCAACGTTGTTAAATCTGGGGTGTTGTGTGGCAGGTGCTTGTATGTTTGAATTCTAAAGTCCCAGAGCACTTTGGCTGCTGCTGCTGCTGCTGCTA